AGCAGCAGGTAGAGTGACAGTGGCATTAGCTCGTCCACTGTCAGTATTCTGTATCAAGTCATCTGGGCACATGATACTAGGATTCTCATTATCTAAAACAAGAAGAAAACAAGAAGAAAACAATTTTTCACAAGTTCATGTTTGTCAGGACCTCAACACTTGCCATGACAGAAATCAAACAACGCATATTCACTTCATGAATTCATCTGAAAATATTGCAACCTTCACAAAAAGCAATCAGATGAAAAAGGAACTAAAACTGCTGTAAAAAAATAGCTCTATATTTTGTGTCTCAAACGCATTTTAATTTATCTTCCAATTCCTTTCAAGAAAATGAGAATATGAAGACTTTATTTTCTGGCGAGATCCACATCTCATGAAACCATGTTTACTACACAGTAATGTTTTATTGGATGTAAATTTATTACACATTAGTACAAATTCTATACAGTTACTTTTTTAAGATTCTTGGGAAGCATCTGATTTATCTGGGATAAATGAATACCTCTGAAAATTGATTAAATATCATTCCTAGGAACTTCCTTAAAATATTTTTGGGCCAGGAACGATAGTGAGTTATTTGCTGCACTGCCTTGCATTAAGTTGTAANAGGCTGACTGTTAATGTTTCAAAAGCAGCTTGCAAAAGTCCATTCCTCAGAACTATTAACCACCCCTCATTCTTTAAAAGCAAACCATAGCAAAACAATCAATATGAAGCCAAACACAACACACAACTTCTTTTGGCCTGCAGTAATACCTGCTTCTATGTACAAGTGCAATCGCACTGGGAACAACAAAGAGACATTGGGGTGACAATATGTCATGTACCCTTCATCTGGACAATACTCCATTCCAGTGAAAGAATAACAACGGCCAGTTTTTATAAAGCGCAAACTATATCCACCATGAATGTGATCAAGGTGCTGTTATCATTATCCCTGCACATTGGGTTTACATCTGAATATTCCTGAAACTATCTAAGATCCCTGGAGAGTAAACTACCGGACGCTGCTGTTTCGGTGCAAATGGCTAACCATAACCATTTCTGCTCTCACAGGCACGCATTTACACCTGGGTGGAGAGAGGCACATAGGGATAAAGTGACTTGCCCAAGATCACAACTTGCTGCCACCAGCTAGATTCGAACCCCCAACCTTATGATCAGAAGCTACAAACACTAACCACTAGGCCACATGCCCCCACATGAAATGAAAAAAAAAATGTACTCCTTTAAAAGTAAATGAGGCAAACTCTAAACTCAATGACTCACTGCAAAAATGTTGCATCTCTAAATAATTTTAGTGATTCAGTCTTATGGCAGGACGATACAACAGGTAATGCTGCAGCCAAACTGCCGAATCAAACCCAGAATCATTGTACATGGCACTTTTGAACCGAACTGAACAGAACCCAACTGGTCAGCTTGGATGTTCGGCTTTAATATGGCATGTCGTTGATAGCACACGGAATGCATGCAAGAAAACTTGATAAAAAAGCACAAATAACAAAAAATGGATACAAGTTGTGTTGCATCGGCACTCGGTACATGACAGTGAACTTACGACATATGGCCCCGCATCACATGATGGTTGTAAAAAGCATGTCGAGAGAATTCACTAATAATCAACCAAGAACAAGCAATGTACCGCATTTCCGATGCACTACTATTCTAAATTCTCATGACATCCGATTGTGCTTATGTATATTCAGATTTGGCATTATGTTTGCCAATCTCCGATAGCCACACCCTTATGTTCCATATTAGGCCAATGATGTCATAAATGGCCGTGCAAAACAAATTTTGATCGGATCCTAATCACAGTCGAACTTGTGCTCGATCGATGGCAACTCCAGATGGAAAACTGTTTTTGCCAGGTGGGCGGGTGCAGCACTCCAGTGCATGACAAGATTTGGTTCACGGGGTGGCCTTACTTGCCTTTCGTTTGATCATGCTTGATCAAAATCGTAGGGTGAATACGTTGTAATGGGATTTTGTCAGATCTCTAAAGTTGTTTACAAATCTCAAATAACAAAATGCCATTATCTGTTTGAAAAAGACTGATGGAAAATCACCCCTTTGGCTACGTGGGTGCCATCCTGTGAAAGAACGCTGACTTGATACCAAGGTTCTTTGAATATATTGAAAACCATAGTTTGGTAGTTGAATCCGTTTCATGAAAATAACCAAAACACAATTCGCTCAAAAAATAATTTGATCTCGTATCCTGTAAAGGAGGGAACTCCCATTTAAGCACGGCGTTTTTTTTTTTTTAACATATCCTACAATTGTTTTGTTGAGTCAAGCGTGGACAAAACACTACCGCATTTGGTTGGCAAAACACGGACTGTGTCCAAACCGAATCCAAACCGAACATTGGTACCAACTTGCAGCACTAACAACAAGCTGGGCAAAATTTCTTTAACACAGGCATCAGAAAATGAATTTAAAAGCACTGGGCTAAATTTCATGGATGTTAAGGGCAGAGAAGTGTGAGGCTCATGCGAGGGGAGGACAGAAGGAAATTACAGAAGGAAAACAGCTTGTAAGATTAATCACAGGATCAACAGCAACCATGCAACCAGCAACCACCAACAATCATGTCTACAGCACAAGCCAAGAAAAGAAACAAAGGGGTTAAACTGAATGGTGGTCATAAAATGAGATCCAATCTTTGTCCCTTCGAAGTAATCCTAACTTTAACTATGCCTCATCTGAAAAAAAGTTTCCAAAAAATCCATGCATTTACTCCTGAGAATCGCTTAGGCCTGTTACGATAAAAAGCCTCTTCTAAGGAATCGAGGTTAGTATGGCAAAAAGGCACTTACATGCTAATTTAAGTAGGAGAATCCAGACCTGTTGCTGCACCATGTGTGTTTTTATTTGCAGCATTGATTTTGCTATGTCTTGCAGAACCACACTGCCAATCAATCGCTGTGGTTACTGCTCGTTAGATGATAGTCCTTGCTGTAATGTGCAGCTGCAGATATTAGCTTGGGAGTTTTAACAAGAAGTATATTTATACTGCCCTGTTTGCTACCGGTACATTGCTCTATGCAGGAGCAAATCCGTTAGAATTGCAACAAATTACAAGAATGTATGTATACTCTTGATCAGACGAGCACTATACATGCACATGTAGTCTAGCATCATGTGATTATTTCAAGATGGCAGAGCTAATTTCTTTCTGTGTAGAATCTGTTAATTTTGTGCTTTCACAGGGGATTTTCCCATTTTATTTGGCCATAAAGAACACTTTACTTTTAATGACTGTTTCCTGACATTTGCTTTACTTTTCAAAATGCGTGATGAATCTCTGTTGAACTAAGCAGAATACAGAAAATTATTACTTAGAAGTGGCCCGAATGCCAAGTTTTACAACAGAAATAACAATAAACTAATACTGTGCATGTCAAATACAAGCATCGTTTGTATACATGTAGCACTGCACTACTGAATGCTCCTCACAAGTCAGTTCAATAACACAGTAACAAGTAACAGCCGATGACCCCAGAATGAATGTTTCCATCACAGGTCATTCAAACACTGCATAGCTTGTCTTGGGAATGGATGACTAGTGACTGATATGCAAGGAATTGGAGAACTCCGCTCCAATCCAATGGTGCTCAGCAGTAAACTTGGTAAACAAAAAATAACCTGTTACAGCACTGTCTGGGCCCAACAAGATCGAGAAAAGAGTCCTTGATTTCTGAAAGAACAGAAGATAAGAAGATGGCCTGCTACAAAAAAGATTTTCAATTGAGATGTCAGTAATCCAGGAAACAGTATTGGCAGAGTGAACATGTACCATCCAGAACACAAGCACCTGAGACATCAGCTCCAACTCTGTGACTGGCTTTGTTTCCTACTAAAGAGATTCAGCCAAGAAGACTTCTGGGCAAATTCTCTTAGCTGGTTGGTATCGGTAGCATGATTCATGAAGGAATGCAGAAAGCACTGAGCATCTTGCACTGACACTGCTACATTAAGGCTGGGGCTATCACTACGGCCTTACTTCAGAGAGAGATTGAATCTAAAAACTCCAAAACACTGAAAGACTGGTGTCTATCACAGTTTACTATTATAGACATACCTGATATGTCAGGATTCCAGCTGTCAGACAACACTGTTGCCAAATGGCAAATATTCATGAACTCTGCCTACAGTCCTAACACTGGGCAAGCAAACAGTTGTATTTCGTACTGCACAAAAAAGTTGGGTGGCTCTAACAATGTGAGTTTAGGTGAAATATCAGGTGAATTATTTAAAATTTGCCAGGTCACTTACAATGTAAATGTATAGAAAAAGTACTGTGCCAGCTACTGTACAAAGTTCTAAAACTGCTTTCCGATGGTTGTTCTACACAAAAGCTGGCATAAAACTACATCTTTTGGTGGGGGTTTCCTGAGTGTGTGCAGTGATACAGTATATTCCCTTGATGCAAAGATGCCTGGTCAATGTCATGAAAGAAGACGGTATCAAGTCTAGGTGAAGTCCACAGGCCTACCCAAAAATATTCCTAGCCTGTACATGTATTTCACACAGTGCATCAAGCACACAAAAGATGAAGTAGTACATTTTGTGATACATTTATCTGAATGTAGTGCTTTATCAGCCACATACAATATGCAGGTGTGCTCTTACAGTTTGTATACAACATTTACAGGGCAGGAGGTTTGCTTGAAATTTCTCAACAGATCTGCTGGATGTGCCAAACCCAGACTCACTTCAGGTTCTTGATAATATTCTGTCACTGGTAGAGTTTAACAAGCCTTTCCCGAGTTATATTTGAATAAAATCAGGTACATGTACACTGAGTTCTTTAAATTCATGTGAATATAACAATTGGAATTCTCCATACCAAAGTCACTGTTGCTATACCTTGTGATTCGGGGCAAGGTTTTCCTTAGTTACATAAGAGACGCCTTGCAACAATACACTGTTCTCAATGGATAAGAACGGCACAAAGGAACTAGTCCAATCCAAAGATGGTGGTCGCTATGCAAAAGCTTGCCCCTGAATCATGAGGTATAGCAACAGTGTCTTTAGTCTGGGGAATTCAAATTGTTACGCTTCTATGCAATGAGATAACACAGTGTACCAGATTTCATTCAAATTTAACTCGCAAGTGGTTTATTGCATTGGTGAGGTGTTAATGTGCATATGTCATGGGAATATTGATCCAGAACAGTCTTGGGTCAAGACTACTCTAGCATGTCTAGTCAACAAGTGCACTTGCAACAGGGTCCTGATTTTTTTATCCCAAGTTTCTCAGAAAATGCAAAGTGTATCATGTGAATTAATTTACAATTTTAAGATGGGAAAGTGGAAAAGGTGAAATAAAAAGTGCACAAAGATTTGAGGCTGGCATCCATACACATTCAGTAACTTCGGCAGTGATGGAAATTGCTGGATTCGCAAAATGTGATACATTTTATGCAAAAAGCGAGACAAACATGAAACTGATGTGCAATTTTTGCAAATGAAAATGTAAAAAAAAAAAGATGCACAACAACGGCCATACACGCTGCCCCACCAGCTATAATCACTGTGCACGCGGCAAGCTCATTTGGTGGAATTATATAGCATGTGTAGTTCAGTATAGTACGGTACGAGTGCACACATATACATTCAATGCGCGATAAGTGGCGCTATGAACTACACGTTGGTACACACACCCCAAGCGCGATAGCAGCTTCGCATACACATTCATAAGTACGTGTTAACTTCTGTCATTTCGTGGTGATCAAAGTGTTGTCTGAAAGGAAAACATGCAAAGTTTGGTTAAGATTGGATTAGGGAATATTGAATTATGGGACAGTAAAGTTTGAAAATTTTTTTTCATGTTCCTATTGGAATGTCTTCCAAGTGACCCATTTTCGGTAATAAGAATAACAATAATTATACACGCATTAAAGTAAAGGTGTCCACCAGCATTGGTGCTCAGCTCAACATTCTAGCTATCTCTGCTCATCTCATAGCATTCCTCGTAAGTATCTGCGCCCCCTGGGGAGTGACCAGCTTGTTACTGGTGCAAACAGCAAATCAAATAAAACAAACTCCTCTGCTCTTGGAGCTTAAGGGCAAGTACCCATTTATACTCTTGGGTGAAGCGAGGCAAATAGGGTAAAGTGACTTGCTCAAGGTCACAGCATATGAGCAAATGCTGGATTCAAACCCCAGACCCTATGGATTGGGAGTTACAAACCATAACCTCCAAACCACACACCTTTTTCAACAGAGACAATATTTCATTCAAATGCAACTGAGTGAACTTTTATGTTTCTTGGCATGGGACTCACCCAGAACTATGACTTGGATGGAGAAGGACACAGACAAGCCAAAGGCGTCGCTCACTGTGTAGACTATAATGTTCTCCCCTATAGGTAGCATGGTGTTATTGGCAGGTGTGGTGGAGACTCTCACAATCTCTCCAGAATTGTCCATCAGGTTAGTGGGTAGTGGTAAAACGGCAATGGCAAAACTTACTCCAGGGCCTGCTGGGAGCGAGGTATTTGCTGGTCTTGTGAATGTTGGCTTTTCCCCATCTGGTTCCACCATTTTTTGTTCAAGTAAGAGACAAAAAAATAGAATTACCATCAGGAGAACAGTCTTCGGATTCTATAGACAAATTTGAGAACTTTTTGGAAGCCAAGAGAAATTTTTTCAATTAAAAATAAATCTGAAGAAGAAAAATCACCAGGAGCTGTGCCCATTCTGTCTGAGCTTTTTTCTCAAGCAATTGGCTAGGCTTAATAAATTTCACTCAGCAAAAACTATCATAAGCCAAAATCATCAACAAAATAGCTGACCACAAAATTAAATGAAACGGATTCAGATACCAGTTTAGCTTCCAAAAAAAAATACATTTTAGACAAAATTTCCGGAGTCTGAGATGCAATTTTGCTATAATTTTTGGGGTCAGGTGTCTGTTTTGTCAGATGAAATCACACAACATCTCTTCGACAACTTTCTGCATCTTGACAATTTGCATGCGATTAGCAATCCTTATGACCACATGGAAACTGTAGGCTTCATGGGCCCTCTCATAATTATGCTACAATATAATCAAACTGTACAAAGACTGGGAAGAGGTTTGTGGTTTCATTCAAATGCTTCCAGTCAGAACGGCTAGCTTTGCCTGAGATAAAAGCAGCGACACTCAGACAACTCCACTCACCTCTGATCATGACGGTTACATCGCATGATGCCGTATTCCCACTGTCGTCAGCAACCGTGTATGTCACAGTATGGTTGCCAATACGAAGGACAGGAGACCCAGGTGGATTGGTAGTAACTGTCAATGATGTCACAGAGTTGTCACTTGTTGTAGGGGCAGGTAGAATCACAGTGGCATCGGGTCGTCCACGGTCAGTATTTCTAATCAAGTCATCTGGGCACATGATACTGGGATCCTGTGAATCTGTTTGAGAAATAGGAAACAAATGGATTAACATGTGACAATAGCTGACGAAATTCACCCAATTAAGAAATACAACTTCTAGGGTGAGGGCACAATATAAGCTGCCTTGCAGAAAAATTTACTCAATCAATTTATGTCTTTAGCCCAAATCTGCAACAAACCAATAATTAGCCTTGAACACTGCACAAGTGTTTTTGATAGTAATCTGTTCATTTTGCTTTGCAAATGTTTCCCTTGAAAGTGAATGTCTGCTTCAGCAGCTCCAGAAAATTTGCTTGCTCTGGTTCCTGCCTTCTCTATCTGACATTAATATGAAAATGGATGGGCCCGTTGCCAGCCTACTTTGCCTTCACTTGTAGGTAGAGGCTGTGTCAGAAATGAATGTTAATAGCAATCTTGGTTTAAGCAATTCTTCGTGGTTACAAAAGAGGCAAAAGCCATATGCCACATCTGCAAGATACCCCCTTCCGTTAAAGCATTGTCAGCTCGGAACAAGCCACTTGCAAGTGTCCTTCAACTGCCAACACCAATAAGTGGTTGTTCGGCAACAAGAACAAAGTTTCTAAATGTGCATCCACTGCCTACTCCTCTTCATGTCAGCCATATTACAAACATATCATTTTTGCAAAAATCAGGTTGTTATCAAGAAGAAACTATTTCTCAGTTATAAATGACACCCGAAAAAAATCCATCTTAGAGCAAAAGAATAAGATAGCAAGAAATTTAATATACAGAGGAACAAAGCAATGTTTCACTGGAATTTACCATTTAGCGGCAGAACTGCAGTACTTGCCACCCCTGAGGGGGGCCACTGCAAATGACCAGTGATAACATTACCATGGTTACCGGATGCATCTACCCTAGGCCTATGGTGTAAATGTGTGACGTTATCAAGCTAGAGAATGCGGCCCACAACTTAGTGACCCTTGATGCTTGTCACCATAACACCGTCGTGCATTCAATGTGCCAATGTTTTTTCCCTCAAGTTCCTCCATTCCATAAAATTTTTGCCAAACTGCAGCTTCTATCCCTTGATCTTGTTGTCGACAACCAATGAAACCTTCCATCCGAAGTGCCACATGCATTTCTGCATACACTGTTCTACAGACTTGTTTTCAACAAAGAAAAACTGAAAATAAAAACTCCTGTATCTGGAAAATTTCTAGAGGCAAATCTGAAGCCTGAATTCTAGTAGCCTGGAGTCACTTACCTAGCACCTCCACTTGGAAACTACACTGGGCAGAGTTACCCTCTACATCCATGGCTGTGTAAATCACCTGAGTCAACAAATGAAATTCAACAAATGTTAACATTTCATTCTTCACAGATTAAAAAGAAAAATGCTTGCAGCAATGTTAACATGCTGTGCACAGCTACAAAGGTAGCTTATTCATATACATGTACGTACCTTGAACAAAAACAGATTTTCATGTTTCAACTACATGTATCTATTCTGCGCATACATGTTTCTGAATCATTTACAATACATTTTCCAGTGATCTAATCGAGTCTATCGCAAGTCCTTTCACAAGTTAAGCCACGTATCCTTTCTCAATGACAAAGACAATGACTTGTGATGAACTTGCAGGGACCTGAGATGGACCAGGGATGCCAAGTCATTTTCTCGTCCAGAGACTGAAACTAAGGCCAGATATTAGTCCAACCTTTCATACACAAAAGCTTGAAATCAGGCTTTTGAAAACACTACTGTGGTCTACACAGTACAGATGTGTGTGACATTGGAGTTCCATTCTAATCAATGAATAGAAGTTGCTTCTACAAGCATGAGATCTAATTATAATTGAGTCAATTTGATCACACTGTTCAGAAGGATGCCAAGGGGATTTCTGCAATCTTCACTATGTCTTCAGCTTCAGGATTCTTTGTGATAAAATCAGTTCAGTGAGTTGGGAATCTCTGGCTCAATGTGATCTTTAGAAACATCAAGTTGTGTCATGCATGCACGGTCAGAGTTTGGTATGTTTTCATTTGACTCAGACCATGTAGCTCAAAATGTCAGCAAAAGACACAACCAAAGCCATGATTTGGAAAAAGGACACCGTAGCTTAAGTGTTTGGATAAGGTCACATCAAAACTGATATATTTTAGACACTGGGCTCCTTTGACTTCGACTAAAAATGCACAAAATAAGTTTGTGTACAGAATTCAAAGTTGGGAGAAGTTAACTGTGACCTACAGCATCGAGTTCTGGAGTATAATCCTGGGAAAACTTTGTGTCAAGTTAGCCAGACACACACTTTTGGATAATTCTTAAATGATGAACCCATAAGACAGTTGCACTTCAAAGTGTTGAGTTGGTGAAATCTCTTTTCTTCATTTCCTTTTCCAAATCTTAAACTTCATCTTTCCTCTGCACCCACTAAAATCCAACTGACTACTTTTCTATAGAGAACAGAAAGTAACCCTTCCATAATATTATTCTCGAATTACTTTAGCACACACACATGTACCTATGTACACAGCTTCCCTCATGCCGCGCATACTTATAGTTACTTTTCCATCACTGAAACTATGTGGTAGTTTGTACTCCAAAGATGTATTGCACATCTTCCTGAAACAAACCTGGTACAGCTTGGTGGTCAATACATCTGTATTGTTAATGTTTGTGAGTTCAAATCCCAACAAAGTAAGTTTGTAAATGTTGTTCTTCCTTACAAATGCCCAGACTACAGGACAAGAGTGCTCACATTGAGGAGGAGTTAACACAAATATCAAAATACGTCTACACAAAATTGAAAATAACTTCATCATAAATATTTTTGTTGTTTGATTTGTAAAATTTTTAAAAGGCAGATGGCTAGTTACAAGACCAAATTATTGACCGTTTACTCTACTGACCTGGTAGCTACCAATTTCATACTGACGGTCAGGTTGTGTGTTGGCATTGATCGTGGGGATTTGTAGAGAGTTGTCAGTGGCGTTTGGTGGTATCCAGGTCACAAATGCACTAGCAGAGTCTTGGGTGGCATTGACAACAATATCTGATGGGCAGCTGACAAACTCTGGTGGTAACGTATCTATATCGAGAGGAAGTACAAGGAAAGGAGAGATAAAGACTTATCTGCCAACCAGGAGTAAACGCCATACTGGTGCACAGCTTGTACCCCAGGGTAAAATTGCCCTTTCTTTGGACAAATAAGGTATTACAACTTGCCTAAATGCTTGTGTGAGTTTTAGGATAGGTGCAATACGTGTGTAGGCGTGGCACCTCTCTGACAACTTTTCACTAGTTCATGCTACAGGTTCACTAAAGAGAAATGATTTTCTGCTAAGTAACCTGGGAGTGTGTAAAGATATGCTCAGAATTTCTATGCACAGTTGTGGGCATCATATACATGAATGCTTTGGCAGTTTCTGATGGTTTTTGTACAAAGTCAGAGGGTCTGAGGGAGGCTGACCGTGCATGGTACCCTGACTGAGTCTGTGGTTAAAGCAAGTACATGTACTGCTTTGCGGCATAACCTCTGAGTACAGAAAAGATGAAGAGCTACAGAGAGAAATGCAGGGAAAATCTCTTCCAAATGATTCTCCGGTGAATACATATGCAATCTTCTCATTTTAGAAATGTTGAGATTTTTAGCTGAAAATAATATCACACTTGGAAACAGTAACACATTACTGTGAAATTAAACAGTCTACAAGAGATTAAAGGCCACTAGAGCACTGCACTGTACTGCACTGTAATGCAAAACAAATGCAAGATTGTTTCACCAAATGAAATAGTCATGTCGTGGATTTGCAAAAGTTTATTTCAACTTCCTGCAAATGTTTTATGATATCAAATTTGTTCCGCTTCTGCGGGTGCCCGAAGAATGAACTGGCCTTCAGAAGAACAGATTTCACTTCCTCACCATTGAATCGAATCATGACCATGAACATGCAGCTCCCAGGGTTCCCAGCAGCATCTGTGGCCATGCAGTTCACTGGCGTGTTTCCAAACGGGAAGGCAGAACCACTGGCTGGAGTACAAATGGCCACCAGCTGGCCCAGACTGTTATCCCTCACCAGTGGGGCAGACCAGGTTGCCCGCGCCATGCCAACCAAGGGGTCATTGGTGAATGCAACAATGCCAGCAGGGCAGGTAACCCGAGGTTTTTCACGATCTGGTGTACATGAAATCAGATAGAACAGGGACTGATTCTTTCTACTGGATGCTGTTAAAACTGCTTTTTGCTAAGACAAAGCAAAACAACCCCCCCCCAAAAAATGTGCTGTTTGAATGGACAATCCGTTGCCACTGTATTACAATCCCCTCCAAGCCGAACAAAAGAGGACTTTTTTTGGTACTCACTGCATAGGTATATGCGGATTTGATGCAGAGCACGCTGAGAACACGTAACTAATTTATTCTGGCAGGTACGGTCTTTGCATACATGCAGAACACGTGTAAGAACCCGCTTGTAACAACCTGTCTGTTTTTCGTTGATTGGGGGTGCACTTCGGCTCGGGGCTGATAACAGGCCCAAAACATAATGATGTCTCACTTTGTTTAGAAGTCCACTTTCCTGGGGAGGTCAATGAATCAGGTCCCGGCACAATCCCATTGGAAAGAACATGCGCATACAGAGCTTAGCATCATTATGTTAAAGGTCTATGTACAAGCTAGCTTATTAAAAACCCCACTGAGGGCAAAAATGCTGGCTTTCAGGAAAATGTGTGCGAATTTGTCAACCAATACCTTCCACTACAATACTGAAAGAGCATCTGTTCTCGTTGTTGGCTTCGTCATGGATGACAATGGTAACCACGTGTGGACCGACGTGGAACTGGTCCCCTGACTGGTCGGTCTGCTGCCGCACGGTCACAATGCCAGCATTCTCAGTGATGGTAGGCGGGTCCCAGAAAACTCGAGCCGAGATGGACAGAGGGTCTGTTGGCACAGTTCTGTTGGCTGGACACTGGATGGACGGGGGCTCGTTATCTTGAACAGCCAAAAAAAGCAAAATAAAACAGCAATATATATCAGAAGCATGACTTATTCCATTAAGTCAATGTAGCACTCAAAACTACACGGCTTATTACGCCTGTACTGCCAAAACCCACTGAGGCAAAAAGATCTTCACTGTCAAAGGAGCCAGCTTTCACAAAACAACAACAACAACAATCACAGCCAATTATGGGTTTATGTGTTAGTTATAACAGCATGATATGCAAGGGAGTTGGTTTACCGACAACGGTGACCTGAAAAGAGCATGATCCTGTATTACTGGCAGTGTCAGTCACGGTGTACTGAACCCTCTGGAAGCCCACGGGGAACCGAGTGTTTGGCTGCACAGTTGACATCATCTGTACTTGGCCTTCTGTCTCGCTGAGAACCATGGGTGGATCCCAGGTGACGATGGCATATGCCTCACCCTGCTGTGTATTAGTGTTGATGTCATCCGGACACCTCACCAAGAGAGTTCTAGGTGGGGGTGCAACTATTTTTTTTAAATACGGAAACATAAGACAGATACAGTTAATACGTGAAACGTGACACAACACATGTACAACGTGTACGTGATCCAATCTCCCAAAACAATTAAAAGTCAACACAGTCACTTTGGAGTTAAAGGCATTTGAAGAAATCTTGTACAAACTACATGTAAATCAAGATTTTTCATCAGGATGCAAAACTAAGTTTGGCAATAATGAAAAGAGCCAAGTTGGCTTTATGTGATGCTAAGTTAACAGAAAAATGAAAGTAAGAATCATTTTGTGGTATCCGGCTGCATATCTGTTTCTCGACACTCAATACAAAAAGTAGGGAAAATATTGCAAATGAATAAGGTGGAAATACACCGAAATCTTGTGTGTTTCTGGGTATTTATGGGACTGGGTACCCATTTTATGTCAATACCAGGTACCCGGGTACCTTAAAAAATATACAGAACACTTAACAAATGGCACTGCGTGCAGTTCCGGTGGACCATGAGCACGAAACAGGCCTCTTTGTTGGTACATTCAGAACATGATTTTATGAAACGAAATTGTTTGTTCGAAATTTTAACAAAAGTTGCTCCACATAGTTGAACTGTAGTTATGACCGCAGGACTGGGTTTTTCAGTGGCACAGTGATTTTTCAGCAAAATTCTTATTAAAGTTCACATACATTTTATATGTGCAATTTTTTTAACGGGTACCCGGCCCGAAAAAAATGGAACCGGGTTTTGATATTGACGGGCGGGTACCCAGAGACAGGCCTCGAAATCTGTGCTGTACAAGGGTAGTAAACTAAATGGACAGAAAATCGATTTGGAACACATGCCCAGTGGATACTTTGCCTTCTTACCTGTGTTTGGAATTACAGGATCAGGTACTTGAGGAACTGGAGGTTGTGTTGTTGCTAAAAGGGAGAAAAACAGAATGTATGAGTACACAAACAGTCTGCATCTCTTTAGGTCTAAACTTTGGACATTTCCTGTTCAGACCACTACATTCTTCCTGTTCACCTCAAGATGTCTTTGACTGCCAGAGCTGGTACTGTCCCTGCAAAGAGGTCTGCCATTGAAACGATGTGAATATTACCTTTTCTCTCAAAACTTTCGGCCCAAAATACACATAATACCATCTGATGGTTTACTGAGAGTATACATGTATACTGGTACATGTATATCAAAAACTTTTAAAGGTCATTCAAAAATAATGCAAGTGGGTAGGAAAAATTATTTTATTTGTATATGTGTTTGTTGTTTTTATGTTAACATTTTTTTCTTTGGGAATGCTTTCAGGAGGGTCTTCGAAGATGTTTGAGTTCACATTTGGCCTTAAGCAAATCAAAACTATTTATGGGTATAAAGATTAACCATTAACGTGGTTTTCCCCTTGACCATATTTGAATTTGCAACCCAATACACGAAGTCATTGCACCCCCATGCACAGGTATTGCCATATATCACAACACTGTTGTGTACAAAACTCAATTCCAAAGCCAAACTCGAACAAAATATTTGCGTATCAGAGGGCTTCTACGTACAATAGAACAGCAACATAAATGGACCAAAGGCACATAGTTTGCCTGGGTACATATATCAAGTAGTCAGACCTTATCAACGACTGCGCTAAAATATTTCATAGTAAACTGTGCACTTCATATGCCAGCACACATTTTCCTTGCCTCGAGGACTGAACTGTTGTACTGTTTGAAAGAAAGCTGTTTGTGACCACATGTACTAATGTACATGTACCTGTGGTTTTCGTTATTAAATCTGACACACAGTATTTTTTTTCACTTAACTGAGGAAGCTTCACGGGGAAATTTCTCAATGCTGAAGTATGTGCTCACTCAAGCTAGTATAACAGAATATCAAAAGCAAGCCAACATGTGGCATGTAAATTTACTTTTCAAAAGCCTTCATGGTCTAATGGCCTGGCTTTCAATTGCCATGCCAGAGATTTTGGCAGATTACAAAACTCTGGGAGTTGGCAAGGATGTTTGTGCAGGCTAGGGGAATTACATCTGCAGAAAAAAGGGTATATTGGCTTAATATGAAACTCTGGTAGTTGCGAAGTTGTTTGTACATATACATAAGTAAAAACTAAAATCACAGTGACTTACATGAACCTGTAGGAGTTTCGACTGTACTGGAATCTGTGGAAGAGAAGAGATGTTTTGTCTCTTAAACCCTGAAAATTTTCTGCATTACAGAGATGCCTTGTGATCATTTTGACACAGGTTTATGACATTTGGATACTGTTCTCACAAAATGTACATGTATGTATTTCTAACAACAGGTAAACCAATGCAAGAACTGTTTCGTTTGACAGCATGAACTATACATGTATATCGCCACAACAAACCTTTGATGAATTGAATCGAATCAAAACTTCCCAGATGTACTGTAAATTTCAAAGCATGTCCTGGAACAGGAGTTGTAATGACCTGAATCAACTCAACTCGAGTCGTGATTTTTGGCATCTCAACTTGGCTCAATTCCTGAGGGACAAGTAACTCGAGTCACTGCAGGCGAGTACAAGTCACCGTTCCTTTCATTGGAAACCAGTTCTTGAGAAACATGGTCAGGATCAGCTCTATGGCAGTCCTAGGCAGGTCAGCCCTACTTGTAAAGCCTAGTTTCCATTTGCTTGAAACGAATGCCAATGACACACAACACGTCAAGGTGCAGATAGTTGGAGAAAAGACGCTGCTTGACGTCATTAAAAAAAAAGAAGAAAAAATAGCATCTGAAACTTGAATAAATAGTTGCACCAAATACCCTTTTCAGATGGCAAATCCACCTCTTGAAGTCAAACTGATACTCCAGTTTGATGTATTTTGTTTATGGTCAGCTATTTTGTTGACAATTGGAGCTGCACCTGTTTATAGTTGTAATCAGAAGATGCATGGATCCAGCATGTGAGTCTGTATCTAGGCCTTCTCTGGCAATTCTACACAGACAGTTTGCAAAATTGAACCTGGTCCAAACTGTCTGAGTTGTTGCTTGCGTTAGTCATGATAGAGTGTTTGCACATTATTATCTATCATTGGGACTGATTGCGATGCTCTCTTTACGTTGATCTGGAAACCAGGCTTAACTTATTGCTTGGAGTTGTAAGGTACTGAGAAACACAGAATAACCTTGACGTATGATGATTGTGACTGAACTTAAAATAAAGGGGGTTTCTGTGCAGTGCAAGTGCTGTCAACTTACTCGGCAAAACGATGCCAAATATCACAGCCAAGGGAATGCCGATGACTGCACCAAGCACAAAGATGGTGATAGCAACAGCCGCAAGGAGCAGTGGGGTAGACAACCCGGCTGCTGGGGCAGCCACAGGGGGACCATACAGTGGGACCCTGCTGGAGGAAGGCTGAAAGACCCTGATAGACAAGACAGAAAATAAGCTCAGGGTTGTGGTTGAGTCCATCGTAAGATCTTTCTCATCCGATTATAAATCTGGTCAAACTTATGAGTGACTCATCTTTTCCGTTCTTCTTTAGCCTCAAAGCATATGATTTTATAATTTTTCATTCTGTATTACTTTATTTTAAATCTTGCGATACTGGTTTGTTGAAGAATGCTATATGAATGAATTTATTATAATTAAGTAAAGCAGGATTTTTTTTAAATCAGTTTCTTGTCTCTGCCCCCTTACTGTACTTATTGCCTGCCCACCTCCTTTTTTTCAAAATTATTTGTCTTATTTTGGTTAAATTTGCAATGTATGTTGACCTGTTCCTGACAACATACATATAATGTTGTTACAAATGCAAGTTTTTTAAAACCACTTAAAGTAGGATGTGCTAAAAACACAAGGGGCTAAAGCATCCAGGGTCAGGTTGGCTGACATTTCAACATGCCAATCCTGCCCCAAAATATTTTGTACACTTTGCACACAGAAGTCTGTGGAGGGGGACGATGAGTGGAATTTGTAGTTGGCTGCTACACGCAGCCTGTTTGGGTATACATTGTACATGTACATGTATCTACATCAAAAGTTGGCCACTCTAAATCTTCCATTGTTTTCCAAAGTCAAAATTTCCGGCCAAAATACATGTCATACCATTTGATGGTTTACTGAGACTGGTACATGTATATCAAAATTTTTTGGAGGTCATTCAATTAATCTAAAAATTAAATGGAAAAGCAAGAGGCTTTCTGTGGTTCCCAAGTTTTGTGGGCAAAACCTTGAGTGCAAAGCTTGGCCATTGACTCAAACAGAAAGAAGCAACTGCATGAAAGTGTCACCCGCGTGGGCAGTTGGCTGAAAAAAATACATCAATCAACTAAGAGGCATTGACTGAAATGACAAGGACAGCCGGGTTGTAAGTGCCACTTATACAAAATATGAAGTTGCCTGTATTCAGACGTACATAAAGTGACCACCGTACAAGGGCAGGTTTACTTTTACGTTTACTTTTGATTAGTCACGGCAGTTGTTACACACATGTGTGCACTTGTTTGAGGTTGATAATTTGCTGTTTCTAATTGATGAGAAGCTATTAATAATGATACAATCTTAATGCATGGACCACTAACAACATTTATGCCTTATGTTCTTTTTGGGGTAATTTTTGTTGGGGGGGTAGTTGTTGGTTTTGTTTTGTTCCTGTTGACAAGATGTTTTTAAATTGGAAAAATTAGCACCTGAGATGATAACAACTCACAGATTCTGTATCATGATTTCCTAGTACTATATCCATGGCAACCAAAGTACTATATCCATGGCAACCAAAGTACTATACCCATAGCAACCAAAGTACCATACCCATAGCAACCAAAGTACATACTATACCCCCTAACAACAAGTAGTATATGCATACAAGTTTACGTGTTGCACATACTGTATTACCAAGTGCTAGCACTACACAGCAGGGTACAAACATTTTGTGAAGCACTTCAGAAAAGTACCAGTAACCTTTCAACAAATTTCATATTAAATAGAAACTTGCACATCACTAAAAGCAACCCGATTCTCTGGAGTGAGGATAAGCTATAAAACAAATACTAACTGCTTCCTCTCATGGTGAAGTAAAACAATCCCCTTTTTCCTTCCCACAATGCCTTTCTAACAATTTGCAAAATCACCAGTGCGGTACTAGTGATAAGGCTTAAAATGACCAATCACATTCATATTTCAGGCTCTAGTGACTGGGTGCCTGTTCAAAAAACTTATACAGGTTTTTCTTTTGAAAACTTCTGAAAATAGATTTGTTATTTCAAATTGTCTCTTTGTATCTATGCATTCATATCTGACTTCATGAGCATGTGTTCAAATATTCTGAAAAAAAGCTGTAAATAGGTTTTTGGGGATTGTAAATTTGGGGACCCAGTTCCTATAACAAAAGGGAGAGTTACATTTCAACATTTGAATTGACCTTAGTAGATGACTGTGACGTCATGCTTAATACCTGTCGGGTTTATGTTGTCAAAAAAGGGTAGGGTTTTGAGTTTTTAGGAAAATTTTGAGGGGAAAACTGTGTTTTAACATATGACAGATGGTGAATTCAAATTTGCATGGTTAATTTATCAGTAAAAAAAGTCACTTTTCAGTGCTCACAATTTACAATTTGAAATTTCCAAAAAACTGGGTCAGCGCAATGAAGAGAGTGCCTTTCTTTTTTTGGGGGGGGGAACTTACCAGTTTTGCAAGATTAAAATGTCAAAAATTGGGGGGTCCCCAAGTACAGGCCTACAATCCCTGGTTTTGGACTGGTACACTATAGAATGCATTGCTTGTTTGCCATCCAAACCCATTATGCCGTGTCAAAAAAGGACTGCCTGATTTGTTTGCAAGGCATAATCCAACGTAGAATCATTGAAATCTCCATAGCAGAATATATAGAACTACCCATACGACCAGACTACAGAATTCACCCGCAGAGCACACCCCCAATCATGCCAATAGGTCTATGTATTTCATTGACTCCATGATAACGGGCGGTCGAAATCTCTCCCCGGTCGAAAGCCCCCGCGCTTACCTTGCTTTAACTCGGCTCATCGTCCACCGCACAGTCCGCACTCCCACGCAGCAATCATGGGAGCGCGGCGGACATTTCACCCCACAGTTCTAGGGTTATTCAGAACACAAGCCAAATTCATTTACGGTAGTCCTAACAAGTGACTTTATACAGTAAACTTTGCTATAAGTTAAAATGTAAACATATACCTCGATCCTCGAAAACCCCGTGGATCACGGTATTCATACACAGGGTCGAGGCTGAAGTCAAGCTCGAAATTATCTCTCTGTTGAGACAACAAACATCAACGATTAGTTAATCATGACATTAGTCAGTGCTTGCACCCTAACATGGGGACGACATGGATGATGGGCCTCTTTTTTTCTTTTCACCATAGACCTGGAGTTGTTTTTCTCCTTCTCGTCTATGTTTCCACCGAACGTAATTTTTCGCCACGTGGTTTTTATTAAAATGTGAAGAAGGCGCGCAATAACATGAACAACATTTCAAGGACAGAGGTGCCAGACTATTTGGCGCCCTTTTGCGATGTAAGCATGTGTATTATTTTCAGATTATCTTCAGGTCTTTAGTAGGTCAGTATGATAAGTACCACAAAGGGGCGCACAGCACTTTATCGCCAACGTCCTTCACTTCACTTTACTTACTTGAATCGGCCTTATTTCTTATTGGCACTACAACTTTCTCAGCTAAGTCGAAAATGATTGTATCTAAATATCTCTGTACATTTTTTAAAAGGCCATCCAAAAAATGGGGACAGATCTAAAGATACCGGTATCTCTTTTTATTATGTTGCATCAATGAACTCTCAATCTCATGAGGGGGGGGGTATTTAGGCCAAATACACCTCATACTCTTTCAAAGATATTTTGTTCAAGGTCGGTCGATATAGTGCATCGTTTTCACAAATACGTGTATTTGACAAAAACAGAAAGCTCGTTACAGATTGGTGATGCAGATTTTCCAATGAGTGCAAGTTCTATGGATAGTTATAGGTACAAGCACCTAACAAAGTCCTCAGTGTCACACAGGTTGGTCACAATAGATTTGAAGCAGAGTGAAGTCTGTGCTCTGCCCCATTTTACATTTATAAATGTACACAAACTAAGTTTATGTATACATGTACAACTCCAGGTAGTTCATTTGCCTTTTGCCCCTCGGAAAAAAATATGCCCTTCTGAGTGGGTACGCCCAGAATTCAGCCAACAGAGGTTGTGTGAGGCTGCCATCTTTTGTTAGACGAGTACCCATGCGTATCTCTGAGGATAAAAACCTCTAGCAAAAATGGCTGCCATGCACAATCACTTTAGTTATGCTTCTGATTTGAAGTTTGTGTGCGCATCAGGTTATTAATCGATTTTCGTATTGATGGTAATGATTATACAAATGACTGCAACATTTTTTAGTTCTCCAAAAGTCCATCGGTCGTATACTGTTTTGATATCCCGTTGTGCGCGTGTGTGTAAGTGCACGTGGGCACGCTAAAAACTCGGACAATAAAACTTTTTATAAGGAAAACAAAAATACAACGTGGACACACCCAACGGGGCTTCTTTGCTTGGGACTGCAACTGATGCATGAATTGAATAAAAAGACGGAAAACTTATTTTGTTAGTTGCCGCCGATTAGTCTCACAGTAAGAAATCTACACGTTGTAAGTATATGACGCTAAAGAGGTATCGCGTGCCATTTTGGTTTAACATAGGCCTCAGATGCCAGGAATAATGGACATCACACTTTACACAACACGGATTTTCTGATAAAAAGCTTTCAGTGTAAAATAGTAAACAGATTTGTAAGTAATATCACGGTCGTTTATAAAGTACATGTACTTAGAAACGTCTTTTCTGAATTCTGAAACCGTCGAGCGGTTTTATACGTGTATTTAAAATCGCCAGATGGTCAACAAATACATTCTTCCGTTTTAACTCGCCGTATTTAAAATCGCCAGATGGTCAACAAATACATTCTTCCGTTTTAACTCGCCGTTACTTTGAGCAAACGGCAGAACATATCATTTCAACCTTTAAGTAGCCAAGTTTCAAGCTTGTAAGCAGTAGCTTAAAGCCGGTGGTTCCAGAGTGGAAAAAAGGAGCAATTATAAAGCAATTAGGACCCTGAGTAAGAAAGATTTGGACGGTGAAAATGCCACATGGGACAAGAATTCTATTCTACAATCGTCATAATAAACAAAACCATGGTTATTTCCCCCCTATGTTATGGTTGATCTACAGGCAAAACTACAAATGGCCCCTTCAGTAGTCGAGGCCTGAAGTTACCCAAACCTTGAATTACTACGGGCGTATTGGCATCAAGTTCACTTCCCTTTTATATCCCGATCCCAAGCCACTTCACCACATAACGAGTTTATTCTCTGCAAGTTTGTCTACACCCTTAGATCTTTCTTTGCACAAAATATCTAGCCGGGGAGGGGGCATTTTTTTTTAGAAATGTTCATAGTCATACTCAGCAGAAAGGTTTTGTTTAAAGCAAAAAGGTGACAACTTAGATTATGTTCAACGCCAGCGGTAAGGTGAATCTCTTATACGTACACAGGAGTGCACGACGGCGCGGGTCAGGAAGGGGACTTGACAATTAAAGTATGCTGATCATTTTACTCCATCAAATATGCAAACAGGAGCCGAAGGTATACATGTATTGCGCTGTCTATATTATGCTGTCGCCGTGCAAGTTGCGTTTACAAACGAAATTAAACTTGTACCCCTACCTTAGTCACCATGTTGGAAGAGCGTCACCTTCCCCGTGAACTCGTCTCAAACTAAATTTACCAATGCGAATCGGTGAACACACCCCAATGCCAACTGTTTCCGCTCCCAAGTTACACAATAGGTGCCCACAATGCCCCTTACTCGTAAAAGCAAACCGGTACAATATTAGGATCACGGACAACGATGGGTGATGGATGAATTTTCTCGGGTTAAATGGATTTTGCTTTGACGTTTGTGACGTCAGCTCAACCGATTACAATGGTCAGTGACAGCATTCTTCGCTGAGAATTTTGCATACAGCCAACGAAAGTCGTGTTTTTTATACGAGTCGACAGTCATACCACAAAAAGTCCAAGTATACTGGAATGGAGCGACGAGGCAGATGTGTCGGAGTTTGCTACACAAATTCTTTCCGAGTGCATAGTTACATTTCCCGGTGTTGTTTGGTAAATGAACTTGGTCTTTCCAGTGCTCGTTCCTTTCTATCGCTGGTATGAACAAATTTTACATAAAACATCACCAACAGGAGCCTGACTCTCCAAATCAACCCCGATTTTAATGATTTTATAAGTGAAATGGCTATTAAAGTCATTAGCCAGGTCACTTTCCGAAGAACAAGTAGGAAACTCATCATTTCTACTTGGCTTCAGCAGAGAATTAACAACGCCATATATTTTCTTTTGATCCCCATAGCAATCGTTAATCTCGCTAGAGTAATAATCCTTACAGGCCTGAAAGACCACATTTGTTTTCTTATTTCTGAAATACTGGAACACATCTCTGCTAGACGTTGTACAGTGTCTTCGCCAGAGCCTTTCAGCACACCTCCTTAATTGCCTGTGTCTTGTAATTTCATCACCTCCGCCCCCACTTTAAAGACGCCACAGCCCCATATTCAATGTAACAGAATAGTAGGCTCGATTATACTTTGCTGTGGCCAGAAATCGCATGGGAAATGAGACTAGCCGTAAGCTGGTGGGTCCGCGTACGTTTCGTTCATTCGTTTTTCGATTTGAGAACGAACATCAAACAACCAAAAAACAAGTTGTTTTCCGATTTTAGATTTGAAAACGAAAATGGAAATCGAAAACTAGTCCTTCCTCATTTTTTTGATGTGAAAATAAAAATGGAAAAAAGGAAAGTATAAATAAAAAAAAGTCTTTTCCCTTTCATTTGAAAATCAAAAATGATAATCACGTTCCTTTTCGTTATTTTTTAAGTGAAAACGAACAACAGCGTAATCTATTGCCCCAAGTATGAAAAATCGTTCCATTTTTCATTGCGTAAGGTAAGAAACGTCTTTGTAAGCCATTAAATCAAACATGGCTGAACTACAGAAATACAAAGAATTCGTTGCTCATAAAGTAAAAGGAGCAACTCACAAGGAAATTTCTTGTCTGCTCAAAGGCAACTTTTATCTTGAGAAGTGCTGAAAGACGTCCATGACACCTCCTCAAAATTTCGAGGGATTAAAATTTAAAACAAGATTGGTTTTGTTTTCGTTTGCAACAGGAAAAACAAGAAACGAATTCTCCGTCTTTTTTCTTCGTTTTTCGTTTGCAAATCAAAAAACGGAAGACGACTTGGGTTTGGTTGTGTGATATTCGTTTTAATTTAAAAAACGAATGAATGAAACGTACACTGGCCCTTGTGGAATCCATGCGCAAACATATTGTGGCCGGCAGTAATTAAGTAATTGGGATGCAGCCATAGCCATTGCAAGGGCGAATCTGGGAAGTGAATGGGCCCATAGGCCCAAGAAGCTAGCTAGATACAGTCTGACGTCACTTCAGTTTAAACAACGCCCACTGCACATAGTGACATGGAGCCGGAAGTTAACGCCCAACTTTAAAGTTCGCCCGCAATCAGTGCTGCGTCTACGTGTACGATGAAGTCACTTACAAACCGGACGGGGACCAAGCCATAAACAGGCTAATGTGCTGATGAGGTCATAAATTATTTACTTGTGTGCACTAGCCTATGAAGCCAGTGAGGGCACATGGTCTGCTGAGTACCCAAATTATAAAAATAAAAAAAAAAACCAGAGAGAGAGTTGTCAGTCGTCATGGAAGTATAGGTCTAGCGCCCTCTAATTTTTGCAACTTGCAGAAGTGTGGTCAAATGGGTAATAATTAATCGTTTTTAGTCATTACATCAAGGGACTGGATGACAAACGAATGAACCAGCTAAGAGGTGAACCGGTAGACCTTTTTTCCCAGAACGTATTCTCTTATCTTATGGGAGCACAAGAAACATTTCGAGAAATACAAATGGCTAGTAAAAATTGTCCTCAAACTTCAGGTTTTATCGGGCGCCAGTTATCAGACTGAAAAAAGTCATTGACTGGTGAACACAGGATACACTTCAAATCCTGATTCAGATTATTTACGACCTCAGACTCGAGTGTATCTGACGTTTGTGGAAACAATTCTGTTCTTTTCTTGGTAGACTCAAACTTTCTGGAAAAATTCCTACTCCACATGCAATACTATGAGAAAAGATGACTTGAGTTTATTTTACTGGTACACTTTTTCAATAGAATGCACTGCTTGTTTGCCACCCAAAAATGCAATGCAATTGGTTTGCAGGCTCTGAAATGCTGTGGTCTTGCCAGTGGCGTATGTAAGTCTTGGGTCCAGGGAGACAAAATGTATTTTCTATTTAAAAAACGACTGTCCAGATTGTTTAATTTGTAAAAGAATCCTCACTCCCAAGGTTAGTGCGGTAGTGCATGTACTGTTTCCAAAATAACGGTGCTTTCAATCGAAAAACAAGCACACAACCGCCCAAAACAAAATACTGTCGAACACAAAACAAGAAGCCCTACATGGTCACATTTATAACGAGGACAGTTTTAGGTCCCAACGCTTTTTCTTTGTTTTCCATTAATATAATACATGTACACGGTAAGTATTATACCGAAGTAATTTGTGAAGTCCCAAGGACGTTGTTCCACCAGTGTTCCACTGTACATGTAGCAACATGCCTCCTGGGGACTGCCTTGGAAAAGCTACTGGTCTTGCTTTGGCAATTTGAACTGAAGAGAAAACGACAACAAACGATGTTTGCATGAAGGCGAGTGAAAACAAGTTTATTTCAGAGTCATCTAATGATTACAGTACGGTGTCAGAAATCTCTTTTTAATTTTTTTTAATTTATTTTTCTTAGGACGCTTAGGTATAGATGAAAGTATTAAGAGGCTTTCCATTCACCTTTTTTTCTCATTAATATCGGGACCAGAAATGCACCATCTACTGACAAACGCAGTGGCCATATTCTCATGTACCCAAGGAAATGCATTTCAACATGTGACTTTAATTTCTTTCATCTTAGATCTACCTCAGTGTTTCACTTCGTAACAAGATACGTAATACAGTACTACAACTTTTATCAATGCTTATGCAGTGACACAGGTGGCTGAAACTTTACCAGTGCAAACGGATGGTTACTTTGGTGCAAAACAAAAATATTACTAAATTCTCCACCCAAAAAAGACAGACAAGCCAAATTCAATCACTTTACAGTGATATTAGAAGAGCTAATTCACTACTTCACAGAAAGATTACTAAACTTTACCCTGTTTTATAATCCTCAAGTTAGGGCACCAAAGGCTTCACAGCCACAACACTCGAAAATACAACTTTGTGTAAATGTTACATTGTACACGTCAAGACACAAAATACATCCACCAATCAGTGACTATCAATGTCTGTTCCATTTCAGAGAAAATGATGACCCAATATTTCAGTGAAGATTTCAGTGTTCCCATAGGCAAAGGAAACTCATCTACCAATAAAACTCGTGTCTTCCAATGGATCTTTTGAAGGGATGGCTCAGTGGCTGATGTACAAAAATAACATGATTTGAAAGCATTCAATAGTAGCTCCCTAAAACATTAGAAGTTGCTAAACTTGATCCCAGAGTGATCTGCCAAAAATTAATCACATCAAATTAGTCTCGCCACGCCTCCTACACATGGCAACTTGTAAAGTGTAGGAAAAATATCTCTGCGTGCCGTCATCTTTTCACAGATAGCTAGGGCAATGTTTGAACACACATACTACCTCCACAACACTTTAACAATTGCTTCACAAAATGTACACACTCGTAGTAAAGTGTCAACAAGGTACACTCAGAACAGTCTACTACAAATGGATTTGACTTGTGCGCAGATCCTTGCACTCACACCCGATAGACAGCTAAAACAGCAACTGGCACATGATGATGCATGGAATATGCACAATTCATCTCTCAATCAGGAATGTGAACGAGGTACAGTCATGAAATTGCTGTGCATATAGGAGTTGCTTTCCGGTCCTGGCAGTGCCTTGATGGCGCCTGCAGAGGGCATGGACTGCTTACCCCATGCTGTGCGGCATTGTGGGGGGCTCTGTGTAGGCCAACACACGCATAAGCAAACTGTGTACATCGCCAGTGTTGCTGAGAGCAATGTGCCAACTGTTGTCTTGAACATTGTGAAGGGCCAGTTATTTTGTTTGACGGCTTCAACAAGACTTTAAGCTGGAAATTTATGAATACAATTACACTTTGTTTCTGTACATTTTTCTTCAGGAATTGGTGATGAATTCTTAAGCGTGATCATGAATAATATGTCTGCCCCTCATTAAACAATTCAATTCATTATTCCATTTACGAGTCACTTCTTCATTGTGCAAATTACATTCAAAATAAAATTCAGAGAATTGTATGTGGGGTTCCCAATGCCTATGGAATGCAATGGGAGGCCACAACCTAGTGCATTGTCACTGGCAAAGGTGAGAGAGCTGGAAGGACTTAGTTTGTGTCGGATGCACACAGTTTCTTGTCGGCTTCCTTGAGGGACAGCCAGATGTTCATCTGCCGGGCACGGATGGTGCTCCAGATGACGTGATCGGTGAGGGACAGCATCTGGGCTGCGCACCAGGCTGCACCGTCAGGTGACAGGACAGTGCTGCAACCGAGACCTGCAGAGAAAACGAACATGGCAATGGAAAGTATGACTTGAGAGTAGACTAGTCCAGCGGGGACGATGAGAAAGATCAGAGTTCAAATCAGTCGCACTGGATAACTTGAGAAAATATTCCAATATTCCCAAATTCTAATCTTTACAAGACTGCACAGTGTTTTACAATGGCGAGACTGTGAAGAGAAAAACAAGGAAATCAATTGATCTGAGGAAAAGTTTGCACACATGCATAAACACTTAAATTGCAAATAACCTACATTTCAATATATACATATAACACCACCACCAAGTGACACGTTATAACGTACTGCTGTGATTCTAAATATCGGACACTTGATGAAAAAGTAACAAATCCAGTCCACACAATATTTTGCTCTATCCAACATACAACTACTGTCGAAAAGAGAAGCTTGCTCAATATAACAGGGCTTAACAGACAAATACAGCATTATGTACTCCACGTGCAGACAAGAGACGGCATGCTATTACAAAGCACCAAAGCTTCTTAGAACGCACCCCTTTCACCCACAAATTCACGCAGGCTTGGTCCTGATTTCCATGGTTCTCAGGACTTTTTTCTCCAACAACAGATTCAAGGACAACCCTTTTTTTTCTCCCCAATTTCAATGGCTTCCCATCACAAGTTTTTCTCACAGGATTTTCCATGACTTTGGGAACCCTGATAAAACTAATTTCACACTAAATGACAGAAACTGGGTCCAAACCTCAACAATGCTGCTTGGTCAAAGAAAGAATAAGTCAACGTTGTGACATTTACCACAAAATTTTTGAACCTGACAAGACAAACCTTGGACCGATGCACAGCTGCAAATCTTCACCATTTCACAGCACGAGTTTCACTTAGCATCTGCCTTTCTGCAAAGTATGATCAAAGCCTAATCTCAACACTTCTTTGAAGAGTCTTACCTGAAGGCAGGCGCAGTGAAGACCAGATGTCCTGGGGTCCCCATTCAGCCTTGACCGGTGGGCAGTTGATGACTGGGAAGGAGGTGTTACCGGACAGGACGGGACCAAGGCCGTTACTGCGACCAGCTACTGCGATGAAGACAGTCGGGGTCCCAGTTGCTGTGATAAGTACCAAAAAAGTTGAGATTTGGATACATTTTTTGTCCTTGAGGGCATAATTAGGAGGAAATAGAGGCTATACTTAATTTCCTCCTAGTTACCAGTACTTCAAAATCAGTGCGTTTTTTTGGAGAGCTTTTGAAGGAATGAGGAAGGGCTCAGCAACTATTATTTACGTACACGTTGTTTATACCCCTTGAAACTTGAAGTACAAATAATGGGCCATTAGGTTCCTAGTTAGTGGTGGTTTTGGCAGATTTAGTACAGTGACTGACAAAAATGCCTATGGAAAGAGCATCTGAACATTGGTTACCATCTCTTCTCTGCATGTCATAATGTATGTGGCGTCTCGGCCCTATATAGCAACAAATGAAATGGCTATAGCCATCATTCAAGACAAGACCTTGGGTTACTATTCTCTGATGCTAAGGTGAGTTGGTACTCAGATTTTTTTAAAAGACAAAGTTCAAAGGAGGATGGAAAAAATAACCAGAAAAAAAAAAGGATTTTCTTTGGTCTAAAAAAAAAATCTCTTGATTGGCAAGTGTTGCAGAGCTCAATTTTTCAAAATTGAGCTCTGCAACCTTGTCCTCACAATGAAACAACAGTGCCAGACATGAAAAATCACTTTGCTTTCGCCTTAAACAAAAGTTCAAAGCAATGACATTTTGGCAGGACAAAAAAAATTGGCACAAATTCTACACATGCCATTTTATACGTGGATGTGGTTGGAATATCTTTGTCAATGACTCATTACAATTCCAAAGTGGTTCACCTTCATACTGGGCCTTAATGTACAATGTTTCGTCTGTCCCCTTGTGGGCGGAGGTGACCCGCAGGTGGCAAGGGAAGCCAAAGCTACGACACAGGTCCCGGATCTTCTCTCCATGGGCTATGTCACTGGGAGAGCCCATCAAGACCACGGCTTGGCCCTTGGGCGGCGGGATGAAGGACTGCAGGAAAGGGAGGAAGGAGAGAAAATTTGTTGATTTGTTGACAAAGAGGTCTGTGGAAGTCAAGCCATGTCCACATGGGGTATTTCTGGCAATGGCTTCAGTTTTCGCTGTACCTGTTAGTGTCTCTTGGTAAACAGCCACAGCCATTAAGAGTGCCTGTTGTGGGCATAGATACACACGGCGTCTTTCAGGGTACCTTTGGCTAGCTGGCTGGAAATGCCAATGCTCTCCATACAAACATGTCACGCACAGAAAGCTGCAGAAACTACTTAGCAAAGACGGGAGCCATTTGAAGGGTACTCGTGAGCTTATCAGGGATTCAGCTCAGGATTTGTAGCTACTCGGCTCTGTTGAAATGTCTATGAGATAATGCTTAAGACATGCATTTCAGGCCAAAACTGAAGTGTTTTGAGGGAGACATTCTGAAGATGCAAAACATTTAGTGAAAATGATTCTTTTCTTCATTTCAATCATTTCCAGATTTGTGGAGGATAAGCATGGAAGTGTGCTGCACAGACCACAACAGCTTTGCTGACTGCAAAATGAAACAGTATTCCTGTGTTGTTTGCTAAAAAAGCTTCTGGGGTCCTTCCAAATACTGAAATAAGTAAGAACCAATGGCACATTCCTTGAATTGTAACTTCTAAGGGGTATCAAGCCCCACGTGAATAAAAAAAAAAAACGTACCAGACGTCACATCAGTCTGACCACGCTCAATGCATGGAAGTTGGCGTACGACTACTGCGACAGGGTTGACCTAACCCAGTGTACTGATTTTCTCAAATGACCTACAACACATTGTATTTTGAGCATGTGCAGTCTGAAAGTCAAATAGGTTCATTCTGTAAAATTCTGTCAAACCTGGCCTATTTTAGAAGATCCAGGATATTTCCGGCAAATTCCTCAACATTATTATGATAGATTCTTACAAAGGGTCAAGGCTAGTCTAATAAGGCAAAAACCGAAGCTTACATCCAGTCGGTCAGCAACCCACTGAAAGTTGCGCTTGACCTGCTGCAGCCCCTCATCAGTCACCTCCTTAAAGTCACGGTACACCTGCTTGTCCTTCATGAGACGACGGTCTCCCTGGGGCCACAGACGCCAGGAATCGCTGTCAATGATGTCCGCCAAAAGGATCTCGCCTGCGAGATAAATGTGGCCAAGAAAGAAACAAAGTTTTCACTGTCTTCCACCAATGCACAAGCTAGTCCGGAGAAATCCACAGTTCCACAATGACATTTTATGGTGAAAAAAAGGCATTTGTGTAGCAAAAGAGATCTTTCAGAGTTACATCTGTTAAGAGGCAATTTCTGACAAGTTTGTGGATCTGGAGTAAAACATTTTGACATCAAAAATTTTAACATACAACTCACAATTCTAAGATATTCTAAAGATCTGTTGTGGTATTCATATAATTTAAAAAGGGGTCACCTGATGTCCATGCATCAATTGTGAACCTTAACTACTTGCTGTCGGGTGGAATTTGAAGTTGCATGACGTAAAACTGGGAGATTTTCAAGATTTTTCGTTTTCAAAATTCTTCAAAAAGTCATAAATTCATTTATGGACATTTACACCCACATAAATGCCTGTCTGGTGGCTACTCTAATCTAACAGGCGACATCTATTGATGCCCGAGTATTTTAGCCAGGCGTTACATAAGTTTCTTTTGTTCCCGAAACTGGCAAAGTGGGTGGCAGGGGCCAGATTAGCAAGCAGCGGTATTGTATCACTCATCGCTGGAGCGCTAGAGTGCTTTTGTCCATGGTGGTAATCTGCTCGCACTGAATGCCACAAACAGTGGTATAATCTTTCAAAACAATGACGGATTTCCTCCTCTAAAAAAAAATGCTAGCAATTCCCAGCAGCTCGGTCTTTTTTTGTTCCAAGTACAGTCTTTTGTTATAAGGCCTAGCTCTTTTGTCCGGTTTCGGGCTCCCAGTTTTCATGTATAAAGCCTATGTGCCCGAAACCTGGCTCCCCGTCAGCATATGGTTAAGAAATCACACCATTCTCACCAGTCTCCGCACTGACTCCAAACTCGATCTTCATGTCAATCAGCGAACAGTCCATTGAGCTCCAGGCCCTCTCCAGGACCTCAAAGACCACTACGGTCATCTTGCTCATAATGTCCACCTCGTGCGGCCCAATGACCACCCCGCCACAGTTCAGCTTGGCCTCAATGATCTGCTCCCTTGACCACTGTGGATCGCCCGCTGCGTCATCCTGCAAACAAGAGGCAAAGACAGTCAATCAACAGGGCTCAGTACATACATGTAGACTGCCAAGAGTGCTCCAAGGTCTAACCACGAGATTAAATGGGATTTTTTTTTTCACAATGCCAGCTTTAAACTTAACACTTGGATTCAGACAGTAATTACAGTCCCACGAGTTGGAGATCTTTATGTCCATTGCAACTCCTGTTTCCTTTGCAGTAAAAAGGACTTGTAAAACATAAGGCCAGAGTTTGAGACACGTTGTTTTGGTTCCCATGTTTGAAACCATCCCTGAGTAAAAAATCAAGCTGCCTGCAAAAATACTGAGGCAGTGCGACAATAGAGGGGGCTGTGGCAGCTCTTGCAGAGAAAAAACAAAAGGCTGATGCATATGCTTGACATCAACTGGAGACTAAAGACTTTAACAAGGGCCTCATGCCTATGAAATCAATTCTGTTCAGAGCAATGTCAGACACCTATAAACTGAGTGAATGCACATTCAGTGACAGTAATAACGTATTAGGTCGTACCCACCTTGTAGAAGAACTCCAACTTGACAGGTGCAAAGCGGTATCCCTCCTCCACCCCAGGGTTACGTTTCAGGAAGGATCCAGTGGCCACTCGCCTGGTCACCCACTCGATGGGCACCATGGCACAGTTGATGGCAGAGAAGCTGGTCTCACTGTTCTTCTTCACAAAGTGGTTCTTGACACCTGTTGCCATGTTGGAATCATGACTTTCAGTGTGTATCAAGCATTCGTGATTCACAATGAAATCAAAGTTCTTCATATTTTAGTTCACTCACAAGCTCTAAGATGGCATGAGTACAGTGAAAGTAGAATGACGTCACGGAAGGTCAATATTAATTTCCACTTTCCTGACACAAATGTCTTTGCAAGTCCTTGACGGCTGATGAATTGGGATGGGATCACTTCCCACACTGTATGCAAACATTGCCAATATTTATGGGCAATTCGCCTTTGGATATATATGCACAAAAGAGCGTTGAATTTGGTACTACTATTCGTGTGAGGACAACATAGCCTTGAGTTGCTCAAACAAACATGCTGCATGAACACTGTTATCGTGCAAATGCGCTACGCAGGGGGTCCCTGCGGCTTGAACTGCATGTCTGGGGCAGTGGAAGTTTGCACTGGTACAATTCTTACCAATCTTGGTCAGGTATTCAAACACTTTGCATGCTGTGTTATTGGAGATGGCCGCCTTGCCTTCCAAGTCGTTGGTCCGCTGGGCATTGTGGGCTGAGATGCGGTCTTTGGACTGCAGCAACACCTGGTTGTTGGGAAGCTCATAGATGATCTTTGTTTTGCCCTCAGCTAGTTTTTTACCTGGAGTAATTTCTGAACACAAAAAAATCAAGTAGTTAAGTACTGAATTATTAAATTCGACAAGAATGTCGTAAGGCATTCGACTGGAAATTACTATCAGTCTGAACAAATGATATTGACAGTCACAATGGGCGATTCATAATTCAGTGCGCCACCAAAAGGTTGTCATGGCCTTTTTTGAAGTGCACCTTGGGACAATGGTTGACAGAGTTCTGTTCATCGCCTGTGCGCAGTACAGGGGAAACTTGAATTGTTCTTCATCTTTGTTAGTCTGGGATGAAGATTTGAATTTTTTTTGAGTATTGGTGTTAATCAAAGCGGTGGTCTTTTGAGAGGTAAGGGACGCCCAACATTTGCAAAATCTCCTCAAATCATCAATCGATGCAAATTGCGATGAAGAAGCACAAGGTTTATTGATCACAGTAAAGATCTGTGACATGACTGCAGTTTTAAGAAATGAGAAACAAGGTGAGGTCTCAACACTGCGTGAAGCACCTTATTACAGTAACGACCCCAAAAAAGCCATCCGTACACTTCAGAAAAGATGGCACATGCTCGGTGAGTAAAAACTGGGTAGCCTGAACAGCATGACTTCAGACCCACAGCTGAATATGGCAGCCCTTTCAGTACTTTTGGGGCAAGCTCAGTCCATATTTGCCTAAAAATTCCAGGATTAAATGGCTGAAGTACAGAAAATAATTTTTAGGGACTCATTTTCAAGGGACCTTAGCAGCAGCAACTTTCCACAAACACATGTACAGCAAATGACATCATGTGGCTGCCTACATGTATACAGGAATACTTCAGTGCGGTACATGTACATGAGCCACATTTTTAGGCTAAGATTACCACCAATTTTAGTGTTTAAATACATGATAAAAAACTGAAATCTAGGTATTCAAGAGACACCCTGTAAAAGGGCATAAAATTAGCTTTTATATTATAATAAATGTAGGATATTTAGCAGAGACATTTTTGTCACAACATGTCTGATTATCATTTGGCATAAAAATATAAGTATCAGGTCACCGGACAGTAAATTAAAATTTGACATTTTCCGTAAAGCCATACACAGGTGTGGCACAGATGTTTTGTCACAACACATTAGACAATAACTTAGCACAAAAAATACAAGACTAGTAATGGGGAATTTGACTCTACAATTGAAATGCAGGGAAAATATTCAAAAAATAATGGATTCCCCTCCTCCCCCCATTTTTTTTTTAATATTTCACGACAAGAAATATGGGTCACGATCCATCATTGTTATTGTTATGCAGTTTCATTTTTGTGAAAAATCCCATTTCAAACAATATCAGCAGGAAAGAAAAACCACCAACAAGTGTTCTTTTTGCACAAGATGGCACATGTAAATATCGTGAAATGTAGTAATCAGTTCTGTCGCTTGTAAGAGGACATGACCATATTGTTCTCTGATGCCATAAAATACAATAGACATGGTAGAAAAGACAATGTACCATACAGTGCTCTGGCACTATGAATGCATGGCTTTATTGTTCTCTGTACGAGTAAAAATGGAAGTAACCTAGCCAAAAGTAATTTGTAGCACTAGGTCCTTCAGGCTCAGGCTATTACTTAATATTTTGTAGTACTGAGTACTGTAAGTCAAACAATATACTTGGCGGTTAGGGCTAATACCACCACATATCATGCACAAGAAAGTCTCCATGCACAGCATACACTGCATGCAGTCAGCAAGTGGCCAGCTTAGGTAAATGCCATCCCAATACTAGCGCAAATTAACGAAGAAACTCTGAAGATTAACAGACGATTATGCTGACAAAAATTACATCTGATTGGCTGAGGTTGGGGAGGTAACCGTGTGCTGGCTAATAGCTGTTTCAGTGTGTTAATTTTGAGAAATGAAAAGGTTATATCTTGTTTGACGAGGATGAGTACGGACATTCAACAGAATCTTATGTCACTTTTTCAATAAAATTCAGCTGGTTCTCTCTTAGCCAACTGGAAAATGAAAAAAAAAATGACTGATACAAAAATGAAATTTCATTCTGTTTGCCTAAGGGCATAGGTCTTCAACCTTATGTACCTAGGACTGAATGGAAAAGAGTTCCATACACATGATACATGGACATAACTTGCCACTCTGTGAACAGACCCTATGAGACTGGCCTCAAGATTTTTAAGTGTTTTGTAAGTACATGAACATGCGATTTTCACTGCAGTATTTGAGTTCTCAGGACGCATCACTTTTTGATTTCTTATAAACCACAGCAAGGGAATGTAAGCGATGTCTGTATATGGACCAGTTACCCCTACATCATGTACAACCTTGGCATTCTATTTTCAACTTGCGTCCTACATGTACATGTAGTTTTGTTGGTTAAAACACATACGTGTATGGATAGCGTATTTATACCGGAAAGGGGGAGAGAGCTGTTCCTTGTGGTCTAAAAAAAAAGTGTGCAAAATTGGAAAATAAGAAAAATCATGTTTAAAGTACAATCTCTACATTTTCACCATGATGCATTTTATCATGCATGTGAAAACCCTAAAATCCATGAACAAAAATGATCTTTTTAGCAGGAATGCTTTTTAAAAACATTTTATACCTCAAATGTATCATCAAAGGCTCAACCTTTAGTCGGTAGTTGTTTGAAGGCAATTTGTAGGTTTAACTTCAGTTGGGTGTTTTTTGGACCATATTTTTTACTGTGAAGATACATGAAACGGTTTTGCACAACTGCGGCAAGAGCGTTGCATAACCGGTGCCCTGTAACTCTACAAAATTGAGTACCACACCGTGGCATGGCCAGTGCTAGCACTGTCATGACTGTGGTTGGCTGGCCTTGCACATGTGATGAAGTTGTGCTGTGTGCATTGTATTCTGTGTGATACATAAGCACTAACCACACACACACAGCCCTAGGCCTACGTATACATGTACGCTGTTCCGTTTTCTCAACCAACTGCAGGTGATATATGCATGCTTCGGTCCATAGATGAAATAACACAGGCCTACATGTACATTCGAATGTTGATGGTGCTACTTTCCCTCCCCCCAGTATTTGTACATGTAACGTTAGGTCCCAACATGTGCCAACTTGTCATGCTAGTCTTAAGCCTGCTGTTCATGTTTGTTGGACATGCACAATAGATCTTCATGTACATGACCCAGTAGTACATGTAGGCCTAACCTGCGTAACTGTAGTCGCCAGGTCCCTAATTTTGCCTCCTACTGTCAAGTCTGATTCGTATTCACAGTAAAGGCAAAAATAAGGGACCTAGCGATTATACAGTCACACACGTTATGCCTATCTCAATGGATGTCGGACAATTCGACTTCAGACAACTCGACCGTTGAGATAACTCAACTGTTAAAAAACTCGACCGTTTGCCAAGTCGTCCATTAAGACAACTTGACTTTGACAGAGAGACAACTTGACCAGTACACATATTTACAGACATTCTCCTAGTTCCAGATCGTGAAAATTATTCAGATTGCAGCTACAAAAAATCCTCAAATTCCAGCGAAACGTGGTCAGTCGTTCACCTTGTGTGATAGAGATACCAAATTAATTTCAAATTTTGAACTTTTAATTTGGACGTACAGGATCGACAAAGTGGCGACGACACTTTCCCTCGTTCTGGATCGGTTTCCGGAAAGTAACCATGCGAGCAGCAAACCCATTTTCAGCCAGAACCCTTGTGAAAAGCTTATTTTTCTAAATGAAAAATTTCTTAATTTAGAGAAAATTAATTTATAAATAAGAATTCAAATAAATAAAAAAAGTGGATTTTGCGTAAATTTGGATTCAACTTTTTCAGCTGCACAATTGACGAACCCATTACATCACATACATTTCTGCAACGTTCGTATTAGTGAGAACAGTTTGCAACGTACATATTGCGTGCATGCACTTAAATTAATGCACAATCCAAAATTAAGAAAAAGTATGCATTATGCATTTAGTTTTCTGCTAGTTTTAATTAGGCCTAAACAGAAACTTTGAAAGCCATTTTGATAAAACAGACATTAGATGCAAACGTTTATATGACTGTTGAGTATGAAAAAAACATTTGGGATCACTCGCAGTGAGTGACATATCGCCCTGTAACTAATTCATTTGTCGATTTTTTTTCCGCTTAGATGATTTCTGACAAACCATTCAAAAAAAGGCCAATCAGAAATCTGGCCAAAATTCTTTTCTAAAAATTTTCTGAGACCAAGTTTTATTCAACAAGAAGCTCACAGTTCACCTTTTAAACAGAATCTGTCTGAGAACATCGAGAATGCACCGGCAGAACTGAAGAGCACACAATCAAAAGAAGGTAGGTTTTTATTTCAAGCGATCCAGAACTAGGAAAAAACCAAACTAGGAAAACGACTGTAATATGTAGCGTGGCTCGGTCAGCTTGGGTGCAAGGTCGATTTATTGCGCAGACATGAAAGATGGACTAGGCCGACCTAGCCTACTATAGTACTAGTAGTAGTACTACTACTACCTGACTACGGCCACCACCGTTTTTATAATATCTCAAAAATTAGGATTGTCTATCTAGTGTTACTACGTGAAATTCTCTTCCAAGGCAAAGTATCAAAGTATCTCAACGGTCGACTTGTCTCTCCTTTTTACTGACGGAAGGTGGAGTTGTCCGAACCGAAGTCGAGTTGACAAACGGTCGAGTTGTCCGGACCCATTTAAAAACATGATTTAAATTAGCAAACGACGCAGACGAAATACTGGCTAAACCTAAATTCTTTAATTAACATGGGAAAGTAAATTACTTTGGTATTTTATAACTGTTCTTCAAATTTCACTTACCAGCCATTTCAAAGTGTGACAGAAAACGTCTTTATACAAAAAACAGCAATCTGTGAGTGTTGTTACAATGTACCTCTGCCTTCTCCCGCCGTTTTACTTCAACTACGTAACCACGTGCCTTTTTTGCACTCCAGTATGATTTAACCAGGTACCTATTTGGACCGTTTTTGTTTCGAATAGCAATTCGTGTACCTACTTCTCGATACAAGACTTAGTCCAGGTGCGGTGCCTTTTAATCGACTGCAATATATTCAGAATCGATAATAACATGAAGCATTCTGAATGGATTTGCTCCTTCACTTAAAGTACACAATATATTTGTGTATTAGTAACATCCACAAAACAGATGAATATTTCAAGAAAAAATACTATTGTGAACGATTTCTGTTTATGGAATTGTTACGATGCGAATTGGTATCGATTTGTTCTTTTCAGTTGAGTCGAATTCACGGGTAACGAATCGAACTTTTTTATTGTGAGCCATTGCGGTAAAAAGCTTTTGTAAATGACGGCGTCTCCTTAACTAGCTGTGGCTACGATCGCTGGCACGATCGTGGTGCTGAAAAAACAACTGTTATTGTTAGTTTTTGTCATAGAGCTGGAGAGACGGTACAGTTTTAGCATCTGTATTATATGGACCGTTTGGATCAAGTTAGTTTCAAGGTATGGGGCGAACCATTTGCTTGCTGATTTTCCGTCCATATCCTCCCCGTCGTTGTACGTCAATCCTAGGCCTACTCAGAGCATGCTCTGAGCAAGGTGTATCCATCCGTGGGGGGGGGG